TCAAACAATCCTCATCGCAATGATCATGGAAACTGAAGTAATTCAATTGAACAAAAGAATTTAATAAGACCAGAGATTTCTCATTACAATGGAAGAGGAAAAAAGCCCGGGAACAGAATAAATTTTATTATAGAATTCTCGTTTCAATTCTTTTTTTTTTTTCCTAGGAATCCCTCTCTCCAATTATTCGATGGGATCACGTGGAAGCCATTATGTTCGCTAATATTTAGTATTCCAGCATTATAGTACCGAGGTAAAGCTCGCCATGTACAGCAACAGAAGGAGGGAGAGGGGGAGGTGAGGAGGATGGAGCGATCGAAACTTCGTTTCCGAGGAGAGAGCGTAACGCAGAGTTACGGATAATGGGGTATTCCGCGCTGCTGTGCCAGGCGTACAGCTTTTCCTTCCAACAACTACTGAACCTGAAGTACTGGGAGGTACCATTTGAATTGCTCGGATGAGTTACAACTAGTTAATACGTGAATTAACAACAAGAAAAGGGAAAAATTGAGTTTAGTCGCTATTGTGATGGTTTTCGGGGGAATTAAATGAGGAGATAATGGAGTAATTGTATATCTAATTTGTACGAGACGAGTAATGTTTTCAAGCATGATATTGTGGACACTCTCAATATCATATTTTTCATAATTTCAGTATGAAGTTGATATTTCAATTCAACACCCTTTCTTGTTTCAAAACAATATTTTTCTCGAGGCTCAGATATTTTTTTAGGGCGTTGGAAGAGATCGTTGCTGCAACGTCCGTTTGACGTTGCGATAGACAAAGAGATACTCAAAGAGACTGTTATTTTTATATTGCGGTTATATGTCATGCATTTGGTGCCTTAAACTTTTATCAAACTTGGTTGTTAGCTTGTGTATCGATAGTAATAATTGAACAAATTGATAAAAATAATAATCCTCGCCGACATTAGGATTAAAAGACCATTCAATTACCCATAGAATTAAATTAAAAGGATCTGATAAAGGCCTGCTAACATTACCAACATCCTCCCCACAAACTAATAAACGTAATTGTGGATTCCCTAGTAAACCGAAAACTACTCGTGTTTATTATTTATCGATCCGCCATCGCACACTCCCTTGCCTGCCCTCTGTTTAACCACGCAAAATGTAACCTTCCGCACTAGAATTATCAGAATGATATGTAGCAAAATGGTGTATATCGGTATTACCAACAACGCCCCGTGTATGTAAAACGGGAATGGAAAATTACTCAGCCAAATGAAATCGCATACAGTATCATGACGGTTTGTGTATGTGTGTGGCAACCACTCATGTTCATCAGATTCATCTGGCACTTTTCTTTATTAATGCGGGGTTATCAAAATATTCATCCGTGCATTTTTCATCATTTCTACTGGTGCGGAAAACCATTTTGCCAGGCAGTTTATTTTTCGGTTTTGCCAACATTTGCGAGGGGTTATTCATTAATAATTTGAGGGGGTGGGTAGAGTGATGGAGAGGTTGTATCATGTTAAAATGCGTCGATTTGACGACGGAAAGGAGCTCACGGAATATTTGGCGTTCTACGGTTTTTTTTTTTTTTTTTTTTTTTTTTTTTTTTTTTTTTTTTTTTTTTTTTTTTTTTTTTTTTTTTTTTTTTTTTTTTTTTTTTTTTTTTTTTTTTTTTTTTTTTTTTTTTTTTTTTTTTTTTTTTTTTTTTTTTTTTTTTTTTTTTTTTTTTTTTTTTTTTTTTTTTTTTTTTTTTTTTTTTTTTTTTTTTTTTTTTTTTTTTTTTTTTTTTTTTTTTTTTTTTTTTTTTTTTTTTTTTTTTTTTTTTTTTTTTTTTTTTTTTTTTTTTTTTTTTTTTTTTTTTTTTTTTTTTTTTTTTTTTTTTTTTTTTTTTTTTTTTTTTTTTTTTTTTTTTTTTTTTTTTTTTTTTTTTTTTTTTTTTTTTTTTTTTTTTTTTTTTTTTTTTTTTTTTTTTTTTTTTTTTTTTTTTTTTTTTTTTTTTTTTTTTTTTTTTTTTTTTTTTTTTTTTTTTTTTTTTTTTTTTTTTTTTTTTTTTTTTTTTTTTTTTTTTTTTTTTTTTTTTTTTTTTTTTTTTTTTTTTTTTTTTTTTTTTTTTTTTTTTTTTTTTTTTTTTAAGATAGAGACTCCTTATTAAGATCCATTTAGAGGAGAGCTCCTTTACATACATATTTACATAAGGATTAAATATGCATGTACATAATTGACAGGTCAGTGCATAAGTTCTTGCAAATACTGGACAATTTTTCTAATATCTTTTATGACTAGTCTGACAATTTTTTTCAATAAAAACCTAAAAAAATTCTGGATCTGTGAATTTTGATGTGGATTCTGTGGAAAATTGTTGGTGCGTCATCCCAAAGAATTTAAAAAATCCATGTACAATAAAAAAAAAATTTGCAATAACAAAAGACTGAATTTTTCGAGAATGACAAAATGGCTAATGGAACGACTGATAAAAGTCTCCACGGTCCAAAAAAAAAAAATATTTCCAACATTTTTCCTTCAATTTCCACAACTCCCGGGACATCCGATACCCCGCGACAACCGCACCTGAGCTTGTGTGAAACAAAGGAATGAGAATAAAGTTTATTTTACTCGTTCTTCTTTTTCGTTTCAGTTTCAACGGTTGAGGGAGGAAAAAAAAAATTAGCGAATCCATTTCCATTGGGTGAACAGGGCTTTTCTTTTCGACTTTTTCACAGCGAAACCCCATCGACTTCTCTTTCCACTTGGGGTGACAAAGAGGCGACCACTTTCCGCGTCTTGTTTGCCTTCTCGTTTTCCACGAGCATTCGAAGTGGTGAGGAGAAGGGAGAGGGGAGGAAGGAGGGGAAATAGGGGGATTCAAAAAGTCAATTCGTGGTGGCGGATGCCACTGCCGAAGGATTTTTGTGATAAAATCTCAAAAGTTCTTGGAACTTATTCAGCTTCTTTCTTCTTCTCTCGTGACCCCAATTATTTGGGATAAAAGTTATATTTAAAATCAAAGGGTTTCTTTGGTACTTGGGGGGTATTAAGGGAGGAGGGGATTGCAATTGGTTGCTTTGAAAAGTCTGGCATATGTACCGTGGAAAAAAAAAAAATTATTATTTCGGTGAAAATAAAATTTGCGAAAAACGGTTTTTTTTGTCAGCGATAATTTAGGATCATCGATAAATCGACATCGACAGAGTGAAATCTAAAAAATTTAGAGTCAATTTAAAACATTTTTATAACTCCAAAAAACCTACGAATTCATTCGAATCGCACCGTTCTGCCCCACCATTCCCGATACTCCCTAAACATTATAAAATAAAAAATCGACTCATTTTTCAAAAATTGAATTATTCAAAAAATGGATAATTCCGCGAACCCCCTAGAAACACAATTTCCCTCCCCTACTCAACCCCAACGAGACCTAAAAATCCAACAAAGACCCGCCCACAAAGTTCAAAAAAAAACATCTCACCAAAAAGTGCATTCATTAGCCCCTTTATTCTCGCAATTTTCCTGCCTGAGGGCTAATTTTCCGCTGTCTTAATCCATCCTTAATTCAGAGATACCCCAGGTACTCGAGGAACAACAGGAGAAAAAAGTCTCAAAACCACTGATAAAAATGACAAAAGAGTACGAATGAGATAGAAATTCATTATTCTCCCCTCGGGCGAGATGAAATCACTCCGTTCGCTCTAATTCCTCTCCTAATGATTTCCAGTCATTCGAATATGGAATTACCCATTGCCTCTAGCACTCGCCGCTAGACAGCGCCACCTGCCCGATCGATCAATCACCAGATGCCTATTTTACCGACGAGACAAAAACTCAAGTCGATAAAATAGGAAATTCACCTTCTTATCGACCGAACACGCTTTCTTTCTCATTTCGTCGGTAAAAGAAGGGCTCTTACCACCGGCAAGGCAACAAAGAAAGGGGAAGACCCCATTTCATGAAGAACAAGAGACGCATGTTTATAAAAAATTTATGAGATGAGTTGAAAATTCGTGGGACAGTTCCGAATTTTTCATGCGAATCTTTTTGATTATTTATGAGAGTAGACGGGGGTGGGGATCTTCGAATGAAACTAGAAAGCTCCGGCTCCTCTGTGCCGCTAGGGGAGCTCAGTCCCTCTTTCTATATATTTTTTATTATTCCTCTGTCCCGACAGGAAAAATTTTCATCCCACTTGTAAGGCCATATATACCTTGCTCCCCCTTCCCAGAAATGAGAAAAAACTTTTTACGAGCTTTTATATGAACTCGCTTCTCGTTACTTACTTTTATGTTTTACAATTTTCCAGAGTTCCTTGAACGTTGAGAACGCTCTTTTCCCAGCGTCAAAGCTGATGCCACGGAATTCGTAGTTTGAATATCAGTAATTAATGGGGTGAGAGGGTATATCTCACCCGATGTGGGGTTGATAATGACCCCACTCGACAGGCGGGTGGAAAAAAACTGATAGCTTTCGACCGAGATGATTAGCGCGTCAGCCTATTTTTAGTGCATCCAGACTCTTTGAGATGATGATCAATTCAGATGAGATATTGAAATTTGGACTCTATAATATTTGATAATTTCATTGTGATAGACAAAGAGATACTCAAAGGGGCTGTTATTTTGATATTGCGGTCACATCTCATGAATTTGGTGCTTTATATTATTCTCATGCATATTCGATTGTCTCGACATTGGCAACGGTATTGTATTTTCATTTTCCGATCAGGCTCCGGAGGGTTTTTTACCTGGCGTCCCAGACGATAAAACCCATGCAAATTGATAATTAAACGCACGTGAGAGAATGAGAAAGCGATGAGCGTAAAAGTAACAATGGCAATGATTCCCAAAAGGAAGTGCAACCCGGTGTGTGCCAAGTGTCCCTGGCAGTCTACCAGCAATGTCAACGGCATTCGTTGGTCAGAGACCCCGCGAACATCTGCCAAAAATGCTCATCCAGTCGCGCACGCCAATACCAATAACCAAAATGAAATGCAAAAACTTAACGTGAAAAAGAGAAAAAAATATGACTTACCTCCAGGTGAGGTTCTTGTGCGGCCAGGGCTGCCCGTGAATGGTGAATCTCTTGTGTCTTGATCTACGATATCGCGGATCTGGCATGTCCGATAAACCGCACCTACGTGATCTCATTAGTTTCTTCGTCGCCTCGTCTATCTCCCCAGTCACTGCTATTCCACCGTTACTCTGCAAAGTTTTGTCAAGTCAAACACGTTTCGGATATGGTAACTTCAACGTCTCAATTTAACTTTCATAAACGTCAACAATTTTCGAGGGTAATTATAGTATCTTATGGGGAGGATGGTGGAGTTGCTGAAGATTCACGTTGACGTATATTAAATACCGAAGTTTGTGGTGTAAACAATCACTTTGAATGAGAGGCGAAATGATAAAAAAATATTGGGACGCGATAATAACAAGTGGGAAATTGCTTTCGTCAGAGCATAGTTGATGGATTTTTGATAATAAATTGGCAGTTTTATTGTGAATGGAATTTCTATGACGGCGGATTTTCAATTCAACGATTTATTGAAGTCCACATTGTTACAATGGCGTCAGCCGACATTGCCGCAATATTTTCAGCCGACATTACATCAATGCTGGCAGTCGACATTGTTCCGACATTATCCGCCAACATTGTTTCAACATTGTCGCAATATTTTCAGCCGACATTGTATCAACATTAACAGCCAACATTGTTTCGAGATTATCAGTCAACATTATTCCAACATTGTCACAATATTTTTAGCCGACATTGTCGCAATATTTTCAGCCAACATTGAATTAATGCTGGCAGTCAACATTTTTCCGGCATTATCAGCCAACATTATTCCAACATCGTCGCAATATTTTCAGCCGACATTGCTTCAACATTAGCAGCCAACATTGCATCAATGCTGGCAGTCAACAATATTCCGACATTGGCAGCCAACATTACATCAATGCTGACAGCCAACATTGTTCCGACATAAAAATCTTCAACCTTTCCCCGACTATTGCTTTCAAAATAAATTTTATCACTCCCACGATCGAACTCGGTCCAAATAACATCGTATCGGGAAAAATCTCCCGATTCCAAATTTAGTAATCCTCACCCAAAAAATAGTAACAATCAGATTTGACTGCCACAATGCTTCCATTCACCATCAAACCCCCAATCCCCATTCACAATAGATCCCATCAATTCAACCAACGCTAAACCCAATTACCAACCGACAATACCACAAAAAAAATGTCAATAAAATTTTCAACACAAAACACACGAGTCTCGAAAATTAAATTCTCAACAGATGTTTTCCATCCAAATATTATCATACAATTTCACGTGTTACTTATTCGGAATAACGAGATCCTAGTGACACTTATTTACGTATTCCGTGGCTCCGTATATTTTTCCATTTGGTAGTATAGGAAAGATCTGTATTTCATCCATTCATCTGTATAGCCATCTCACTCTACTCCCCTATCTCTTTATCATTCCGCTGGAGCGACTCCTTGGGTCGTTGACGAGCTCGATTTTCATGCAAATCCCATCGTCTCCGACCAACGTTTCAGAAAAGAGAGGTCTCAGAGGGGGAGAGTGGGGGGGGGGAGTCTCTCTCTAAAGGTGCACGTGAGATCAGTTCCCAATGGAACATTGACGCCTATATGGTAGCCATATATCGGCATTTTCACTACCTATTCCATCAACTTGGAGATGGTACGATGATGATAGGTGCATCGGGAAAATTCCGAGGCTTCACTTATCCTCTCATATTTTATGCGTAATTCGGTTTCTTGGGAGACGTGAAATCGAATATCTTCGTGTCAATAAGAATACGTTGGTATTATTGTTATTCATGATGGGGTCCGTTAGACCGATCGATAGTGCGGAAACTTTATGGGAAAATTGATTTCATATTTTTTTTTCAGAAAAAAATTGGCGATTTTTCAAGTGGAAAAGCCATTTTTTAAAGTCCGGATTTCGTTTTGAAGGGATTTGGTGGGAATTACTGGGGGCAAAAGGGTTTAGGTTCGATCATTTTTTTAGAAGTGCAGAGATTGCATGAATAAACTAATTTTATTCCATTTTTCCCGCCAAAAAATGGCAAAATTTTGATCGAAAATTTTTTTTTTCAATAAAAATTGTTCTTTAAAGGATTTGGTTTGAATTTTTGAGAAAAAATGGTTTGGGTTCGATAATTTTTAAGAAGTGTGGGAAATGCATCAGAGAATTTTTTTTTTCTAAAATGAATTCAGATTTTTTAATGCAAAAGCTATTTTTTTAAACGAAAATTCGTTTTAAAAAAAATCTGTTTCGAATTATTGGTGCAAAAAGGTTTAGTTTGAATGCCTTATTCGGACTAACCTGAAGATTCTTTATGGCATCCCTCAACTGATCATCAGTCCTCAGATTGCCAGTCTCCAAATCGCTCTGCGGCAAGTAGCCAAACCTCATGAGATAATTTTGCTGCAACAAAAATCGGGTTAACCATTAATTTAGTTGATATGTGGGGATATAACGAGTGAGGAATGACTATGGAGTTGGGTATCTGGGGCAGGCACGGAGGAAAAATTCTGGGGGAGAAGTTGAAAACTTCTCCAGGTGAATGTAATAAATCCGGGGCGGGAGATGCTGGATGAAAGTTCAAAAGAATGTTGGAAGTATTAGAACGTAAGTGCATCCGACATTCTATCGGATTACCGTGGGCTGTGCGGGGGGGGGGCATATCAGAACAAATTTTCTGGTCAATACAAATTCCATCAGAGGATCATCATTCATGAGGGGCGGAGGGGAGACGGTAAATATTCTTGATCGTCATCACCAGAAATCATGCCGTACAATTTCATACTGAAATTATGGAATATTATGATGAGAGAGTCCACATTAGCTTCCAGATCAATGAATTTTGAATGGACTGAATTAATAATCGTCTCAAAAATATTACGACTTCAACACCCACTCAATGAAACATTTCCCATTGTTACATCCGTACTAACAAAAATTTTCACGGCAAAATCTACTCGCGAGTATTGGAAACAATAACCCAAAAGGTCACAGCGACGTAACAATATCTGTGTCACTGAAATGTTGTGGCTAACCGCAACGTTGAAAACAACAGTTCCAGTATTTAACGACTAAATACAACACCTACCGCTGCCAATTCCAATCGTCGGTGCGGGCAAATCCCTCTCTCATCTTATTTTTCCAACAAGAACTCTTTTCCAAGCATCAAGTTCAACTACCGTATCGCTACCACCTATTTTCTACCCCATGGTAAATAATCACAGTCACGTTTCTCTCACTTTGTATATATTTACTTCCGATATTTTTACATCCCACTCTTGACGGAAAAGGATTTCTATTTGCGTACGGGAAAATGCGCCAGTTGCGTTTGTAAGATTGGGTCCTGGTGTCAATGAAATTGTAATGATGTTTATCATCGCAATTATGGGAATTTTTTATGGTAAACAGAATTATCAATCAACAATGAAAAAAGAAAAAGTAAAGTTATTTTTCGTTTCGAGTATAAGATGAGAAATAATTCTTCACTCTTTAAATTATCTTCATTTACCGGTGGATTTCTTCATTTCACAGGGGAAAAATATGGAATGGGAATTCACCAACGAACTTGGGTCATTTTGAGTGATTGTCTCAATAGAGAATTGAGAGGAAAAATTCGTCAATTTTTCAAATGAAGCGCAAGAAAAATTCCGGGTCTGTGAATTTTGTCGCTGAATCCGGGGAAAATTGTGGGTGGCCCATTGTTAAATCTTGGAGACTAATGAAATTTTATTGGACCGTCGGGGAATTTTTCCAGTGGTGCTCCAGAATTTTTCTCACTCTTCATATTCTCGTACGTTTCCGCCTGACATCGGTCATGTTCGGGAGTTGCACGAGCTAGTCAGTCTCGATCTCAACGTTGGGCAACGTTTGCACGTGTTCAACAACATCACGTGATAATCAGTGATTACTGTTTCAAGTTTTCCAATTGAATTCAACCAATGACATCAAATAAATTGTCATGTGTGAGAAAAAGTGTGAAACAGTGGTGAATCGGTCAGAATTAAAGACAATATTGAGCGATAACTTTTTAGGTTAGAATGACTTCAATGTAATCCTGAAATAGACGCGATAAGAAGACCCACGAAAATAATATGCATCCTCCAATTCCATAATTCCATTCCCAATACAGTGAATCAATTGAAATAACGCTAAACCAAAAATACCATCCTATTTTGAACAACTCAAGACTTGTTGCACTCGTGAATTAGTTAACTCGTCTCAATTTCCGCCACTTTACACGTCAGACACTCGATTAAACGCGCTCCAGCAAAGTAGAAATTCAGTGACGTGAGGGAGTAATTAATTTCGTCCCGAAAAAAAAAAGAATAAAAAGATGACAAGTGCCAACTTCACATTTTTCCATCTCCCGTGGGGGGAGGGGGCGAATATTCACTGTTGATTCTTACTCACGCTTGTTATCCCCGGGATAACGAGGGATATCTCCATCCCCCCGAGATAATGATATTTACCCCCGGCGAGGAATAACAATAACGAGGTATATTGTACACCAGTAAATCCTCAACATTAAAATTAATTCATGGAGATATTCAGCGGTGGTATTAATTCGTTGAATCATTTAAAACGATAAAATATGAATTCTTATCGTGCGTACACTAGGACTGAGGGGGGCATTGTGCACTGTCGGCGAGATACTTGGTGCTCTATAAAAGGAGCGTTCGGCATTCTCTCTTTGTCGACGGAAATAAGAAGCACAAGGAGCACGTGTGTTGACCATAACGAAAAGAGGCCCCCACAATGGAATGGAAAAAATTTTATACAAAAAGATGAAAGAGAAGAGGAAAAAAAAAACTTTGCAACCTGCAGCGGTGGTTGCATTACCAAAGATGGGGATTGGTGCATCAATGGGTTGGGTGACTTTATCGGTGATTAATGCACCCGGACCATAACTGATATTGAAATTGTGAGGTACGGGGGCTGGGGACGGTACTGCGGCCAAATTAATCGCACTGTCGGATATGACGAGGGATCAATTCCTGTTGCCACTGGACGTAGACATCAAATGGAGGATTAATTTCCCGGAATTTGGTGGATTTGTAATGAGGCGGTGGGGAATTTAGAATTGTGACGGATGTGGGGGGAGCGGATATTTGAGGTGCCACGGGAAATTCGGACGAGAATTGAGGTGGGGATGGAAGGAAATCTTTGAGACGATTGATTCTGTTGGAGTTGTTCGTCATAATTCGTATTCCATGATTTCCGGGTGAAATTTCTTGAAACAATCTGTCCGATTGTTTTTGACAAGTGAAAGATATTTATATTCAAGAACATGCTATCCCAGGTAGGCATTGACGATAGAAACAGGACTCATCAAGTCCTGGAGCAAGGCTTGGGAATGCTCAACCAGGGCTGGAGCTCAGCCTTGGATCAGCACTCCTTCAGCCCCAAAATGATAACCTCGTTTTAGACTTAGTACATAAGGGTTGAAAACAATGCTTAGCGTCAAGGCTTGGTCCAAGCCTTGAATTACAAAATTTTAAAGGCTCATGTTTACGGATATGTGTTCAAATAATTTCTTATTGCTTGATAACCCCTTTTATGAATCCAGAGCAACTTATGAAAAAGACTGACGGGACTGGGTACAGTTCCTCGTGTAAAAAAATTTTTTTATTTATGCATTTCTGGGGCAAGTGAGGGTCTCAGTGACATTAGGCGGGCCAGAAAATACAGAATCGACTTTCACTCGGCGGAAAAATTCGATTTTGGCGAAAGTCGACTTTCCCCCCGAAAAAAGCCTAAATATGGCACTTTGACTCCGGCTGAAAAAAAAAAATTTTTATTTCTGCATTTCTGGGGCAAGTGAGGGTCTCAGTGGCATTAGGCGGGCCAGAAAATACAGAATCGACTTTCACTCGGCGGAAAAATTCGATTTTGGCGAAAGTCGACTTTCCCCCCGAAAAGACCCTAAATATGGCATCCGAATGTTCGACCAATGAAATTCGAGGAATGACCGTTACGCTACAGCTTACGCCGTATGTTCTTTTTAGAATAGGATGACGCATATTTGATTGTCTTGAAATTTTTAACAGCGTTGCATTTTCGCCCGCAGTATCATAGGAAAATTACCAAACCTCGAACAAAATTCACAACCGAGTGTTATGGTATTATTCCCAACCCCAGGGATGTTAGAAATCATATTCGGCGCACGTTTATGCGATCCTCAGAAATTCCACTTTCGTCCGGAGGACTGAGGACTATAACTGAGGGTGTATATAGCCTTTCGGAGGAGGTTTGCGGGGAGGGGGAGGGTTCGAAGACGACCTATGTCCCTGTGACGCCTAGTGCCATGTGCGATTCATGCACAGCACGATCTTCCGGGCTTAATCTGCTAGAACTCCCTCTCATCCTCCAAAACTCACCAGAGGTACCTTAAAACATTTACATATAACTGAGACACCATATACACCACTGGGCGGTAGCCTGCCCGTGCACCGGAATATTTTCCGTATTCACGAGTGAATATTCAGGGGATTTTCGCGGTACTCTGAATTGGTATTTGGAAAGGAAAATGAAAAACATTGATAAATATTTGGGACGAAATGAGTTTGCGGATTTACATTTCAATTTTTTTAGGTATGATTGTGAGGGGTGGAGTCAATAATGACCCCAATGAAATGAAAAAAAAATATTCTGCCATTCTGCCCCATTAATTTATAAAGAAATAAAGGAAAAATCATGAAAATAATTTAATAGAATTTTTAAATTCTGTGATGATTGTAGTAAAAATACTGAGGCAAAATGGACTGTTTTTTTTCTGGAGGAGGAAGTTGATAATGACCGTAACGAAACAAAAAAAATCCAGCCGTTCTGCCCCATTTATATATCAAGAAATAAAGGAAAAATAATTTGAGGAATTTGAGTGAATTTTTAAATTCTGTGATTTTTGTAAAAATACTGGGCCAAAATGGGCTATTTTTTTTCTAAATTCAATGCAAAATTTTTTCACTCGATTGTCCCCCCCTCGATTTCCAGATAATAAAGAATCAACAAAGCGTGCAGTTCAATTTTGTTCTCTCTCGTTTAGCTTTCATCAGGTATTCTTGAATTTTTTCATTTTCATTTCCAATTGACATTTTGTGTAACACGGCGTTACGGGTAGGCAGGGGCACTGTTGTCCAGTATCATGCAAATCCCGTCACTCCGCTCCATTAGCCATCCCGATAGTTCGTAGCGCGTAACCAGTGCAGTTGAAAATAAAAAAAAAATAAAACAGCGAAATGAAAGGAATAAAAAAATATGGAAAGTACACCGATGGGATCGGGGGGGGGGGATTTATATTGTACCGTTTTACATTTGGACTTGGTTGTACGCCACACTGACGATCATTTGTGGCATTTGCATTTCGATTGTCGAGATGAACTCTTTTGAGGTGAAACTAAATCATT